TTGCCGCACGCGGCTGTCGCGGACCACTCATTCGCCGTTATTACAGCTCTAGCGTTCTTCATACAGCTCAATCGATATGCGATCATTATTTTATGCATAATTCTACTATGAGTACTTTTGTTCTTGTATTTCTTACCCACTGCTGCATCCTGCTACATTCCTTCGCGCGCGACGCCCCTATCACCGCGACGCGATCATTTCGTTCCTAACGCACCACACCCATAAGGAAGCAAACATCAGAAAACTGGAAAAGCATGGATTCGGTGGGACTAAGGACACACTTTACGATCAAAGTGGTGTCCGGGATTTCCTCCGAGAATAAAGCTGTGGTTCCCCGGGATAGCACATGAACACTGTTGGAATCAAAAAAACGACCTGGACAGGGCGTGTAAGGGTTTCAAAACCGGCATGGTTGACGAACACACCCAAAATTGACTGCGTTATGATGGTCTTGTAGAGGCTGCATCATCCACAAAGAAATGATAGGACGGCGGCGAGTAGTGCTTTTATGTGAGAGATATTCAAACGGTTACAGAGATATACTTGAGCAACCCCATTTCTTTCTACGTTTTCAAGGCCCTATACTTCTTATAAACCGCCGATTCTTGGTCACTATGGCACTATCATGCGCTGTAACTTCCATTACTCCATTTAGGTTAGATATCTCAGAACAATCGTGAACTGTGCCATTGAGGGCTAGCTTGCACTCGTTCCATCCGATCAACCACAGTGTCTGCTAATCATAGAGTCCATTCCCTTTTAAACGAAAAATTCCTGATCACAGTACTGATTCGAAGTAAAGGGATACAAGTAATTGTGTGAAACAAATCCTAGACATCGCACCTTCCATGACGGAACTCAAATGCATGGCTCACTTCAAAACTGACCAACTGTAACATTTTAAAGACCATAACTAAATTGAATGAAACGTTGTTGAAGATTTATCCACATGAAAGAAAAAAAAAACACGGGCAAGAACATATAGGATAGAAGAAAATCTGAAGAGGAAATCCACACCTGGTGGCTTCGCTTCACTACCACGCTTTCAAGCCAGGGCCCGCAGGCGGATTACTGTAGGGGCCAAGTTCTCGTTCTCGATTTCCAATCCCTCCGTCCATTCCTTGATTCACCGGGTAGAAATGAGGGCTTAATACGGAAGAAACCACATTTACTTTCAGAGGCTGTTTAGATTTTGCATGGATGACGGGTAACGGGCCTTACCCAGACACTTTAGTTTACTGACAGTACTCCAACAAAATTCGTTTTTCAGTGGCAGAACCCAGCCTGAGGATAATTGGCGGCGGTTACCTACCCCCATGTGCTAGGGGAAACCTGCGGGCGAACTCCGCAACTTGTAATGGCTTTGACTGCTCTATAGTCAAGGTAATCTCGCGACATTGGCTCTAGAGCACATATCTGTCGCGGCTAATGCTCTACCATCCTTTCGTCTCTTCGGCGTCAATGCTATCTTACAGGTAGCCGACGTATCTTACCGCCAAGTATAAATGTAGCTTGAAACAAACAAGTTCACTACAACTTATTTCACAGTTCAATCGTCAATTACTGCTCAGTGCATGAACAATGTCCAAAAACAACATATCGACGACTCTTGTAACTAATCTAGCGGTTCCACAGTGATATTGCATTTTCAAAAAAAAAGTGTAACATCATCCTGTGTAAATGTGTGTACAGCTGTAAGTCTGGCCAGTGGCAACGTTCATTATTCACAATGCACCGACTGTCAACACATTTGTCAACCGTTTGATATCTACGTGGCAGATAGCGGCACGGTGAGCGACTGAATCTGATCGGGTGGAACCGACGGGAAAGCAGCCTGAGCATCCGTGGCGTCCGGCGGAGCTGGAGCCCATTGGATGACCAGTTTGTCCTCTTTCGGTGCGCCAGCCTAAATTACTACTTACTTTTGGGTTTCAGGGACCTGATCAAGCAGATCCATACTGAAGACTAGGTTTAGGTCAATGATGGCAGCTGAAAATGTTTCATTGCAAGATGCCATCTATCTCGTGGAATCCATAAAGGTGTAAGGTGCACGGCGCACTATAAGTATTCCTCAGACAGAACGAGCCCGACTATTTTGTATTTGACAAACATGTAAATGATGCAATATAAAACTGCCTACACGATTTTGGCTTGCTGCATATTCGCTCTATCCTTAGAAGGTAGTTGCGCCAATGCTGGTTTGGGCTGTTTACCAGATCCACCAAAATTATGTAACGAGAGCTCGGCAGTCGCCGCAGTCGAAGCAGACGCCGCAGTCGAACTCTTTGGACTCCCACAATCTTTCAAGTTTGTTATGAATAGGGTATTGATTTTGCGCGCGCGACCGATACCCACTTCTCAGATACGAATGTTGAATTTTCTTCTGAAAGAAAGCTCCCAGTAAATTTATAACGCTTGTATCAAGACATTTTAGGATTGCGTTAGTTTTAAATTGGTTTTGAGAGTTTCTTCAGAAGAAAAGATATTCTCCAGTTAGCCGCTTGCCAAAATTACGTGATCCCAAGAATAGGCGAACATTTCAAAGGGGCTAATCAATACGCAACTTTTGCACAGAACTTGGTTTACCCCCGCCTATCCAAAGCCAGATTTGACCATGATCAAAACAAGAACTATTCGAAATTGAACAGTAGCTT